AAATGACATTTGAGCTCAGAACACAGGATGAGGACTTTGAATGCTCTGACAAAGAGTAACTTGCTTCTTTTTTCCACTAAGGCAGGAGCTCCAGCTGAGTTGGTAGTCTGAGTCCCTTCCAAATTCCTTTTCCCACTCTTTCCCTTTGACTGCAAAGTATCAGTATCAGATAAATTCTTAGAAATGAGGGACACAACCCTTCTGTCTTTGGTAGCAAAGTTTACAAATGTGCTGCCAACTTTGGTAGTTCTGGAAAAGCTATTAATAGAGTTGTGATCATTAATATATAATAAGCAAAAAAAAAAAACAAAAAAACAGCTCTGCTGATGAAGAGCTCTTACCTGGGTCCCCCAATACTGTATGACTTGCACACATGCTCCTGGAAATGGAAAAATTATCTTGAGCTTTTGGAGAAGTTAGGGAAGAGTGCCAGCCCAAGTGTCCTTTTCTTAGTATATCATCAGACACATTGGGTATGAGACTCACTTTCTCTTCCTATAGAAACTGAATGCTCCAAGACCTGTCATGTGAAGGTACAGGATCCCAGTAATGAATGTAACTGTATTGTAGACCTAGATTGTACCAATAAACTCAATAAAAAGGAACAAAACAAAACAAAACAAAACAAAAAAACCAAATGCTACAGGCCATTCTACCTGAAGGCAGCAGTGCCTCTGGTGGGAAATCCACAATGACATGTAGATTGCAGCAGCTGTTAAGAGGGTCTTCCATTGGGCCACCCATAAAATCTAATGCTATTCATTCCCTGAAGATTTTAGCTTTCAGAAAGTTCTCTCTGTTCTCAGCTGGCCTGCTGCTTGCAGCTCTGGCCCAGAGGAGATCATGGACTTAGAGTAGGCCAAGCAGGAATGATAATATGGGGAAGTGGTAGTGGCTAGTGGGTTAGAGAAGAGGAGAGAGAATTATGTGAAGACAGGTAGGGAGACTAAATTGGAGGGGGGTGTTTAAAGTAGCAAACAGGTCAACAAAGATAACCAGACAAGAATGAATATCTGACCATCCATCAGTTTCTCTTTCAACTAGAAGAGCCTTGTGTTTTACATCCTTCATTTGCCAGAATCTGAGATGCAGCAGTCTCAGGAAGCTCCCCTGAGAGGAACTGGTTCAAGGACCCTTGTGGGGTGGGAGGATCTGGATGAGCTAATGAGAGACACAGGCCTTAGGGCAGGAGTTGGGCCTGCAGTGGCACGAAGTCAGCTGGGTCCACCCAAGCTACCATTTTTGTATGACCTTTGGCCAACCTCCTAACCTCTTTCAGACTATTTGTAAAATAAATAAGATCATGCATGTGAACATGAACTGAAAATTACTGTATCATTTCTGGTCTAGTGTTGATAGTGATGAGGGGTTAGTGATTTCATTTTTTTCCAAAGTTCCCAAGGGAACTTTTGTAGGAGAAGGCAAGGAGATGTTTTATCCTCCTCATCACATGAAAGTCCTTGGCCTCCTTGACAGGGTCATAGAGAAGCCAGGCTAGAAACTGAAGTACTCTGGGTTCCCACTGATTCCCAAAGGGGCTCCCATTGAATAAACCTGTGGAGCATAACTGAGGCCCTGTTCCTGTCTTCCCTGCCATGCTGATGTCAGAGTTCTTCTGGTACAGTGGGACTTCTTGGAAAGCCCACTACTGACAATAAGGGAGGTTGTCCTGCTGCTGTTTCAGTTCCCAAAAGTCAACTTTCAAGATTCAAGAAATGTTAGAGAAGGAGGCAGTTCCAATCTGTTGACTTTTTTCAGTTTTTTTTTAATGGACATTTACAAACATATACAAAGTAGAGAAAAAGCTAAAATGAGCCCACTAGTAATCATTACCCAACTTCAATTTACCAGCACAAGACTAATTTGTTTCATTCATATCTTATCCATTGGTTTATTCTGATTATTTTATTTATAACATCATAATATGTTTTGCTAAAAATGATCACATTTAGCATATTCACAATGTCAATATCACACCTAAAACCAATAATTTCTTAACATCATAAGAGTTTTACTTAGTTTGTTTGGATCTGGCCCACACATTGGCTTTGGTTGACATGTTCCACTTAACCTATACTTCCTACTACTGATTTAGGGGGAGTAAAATGTAACTCCCAAACTGCTAGATATCAGATACACTGAGTTCATGTTCCCCCAAATCAAAGAATGAATTGTAAGAAACAATGGAGGTTAAGAATAGGAAAAATTAAGTGAGATAGCTCCTGAGACAGGAGGAGCTCCAGAAATGGGTTGCCAATGAGCCAACTTCTCCGAGAGTATTTTATAGAGCAAAATCAGAAGGTGGGTACAAAATCTCGAGGTTGGTACAACATGAATCAAAACTATGATCAACCAGTAAGATTACAATTATAGCTGCTTAGGTAATATTGATCCAGTGGGGAAGCAGGTCATATAGCAAGAGTACATGGAAAAAACAAAGACATTTTTAGGAAGGGATGGGTCCAGAAGTTCTGGTCACCCACCTGGGTGACTGATGTCTATCTAGACGTTATTGGACCAGGTGATATAATTATACAATCTTCAATTTACTGCTTTTCCCTTAGGGAGGCATGTAGACCTGGTCATTGCATCTTTTTCTTGAGGCCTGGCCTTCTTCAGGTACACCTCCAGCCACAATTCTGATGCCTTTATTTTTTCTGCTGACTTTCTGGACAGCCCAGTCTCTATATGAAATTCTATCTAATTTAGTCAACTATTCCTGCAGTTTATTTGTTTACAATCCAACTGTTTGTCCTATAGGGTATTCTACATTCTGGATTTTATTGCTTGCATCCCCGTGGTATTTTTAATCCTATTCTCTCTCCTACATTTCTGCAAATTAATAGTTAAGTCCGAAGGTTTGACTGATTCAGATTCAACTTTTTATGAAGAATGCTTGTGAGCAGTGCTATGTACTTCCCAGCTTGCATTCTGGTGTGTAATATGTACTTCATTTACGTGAAGAGGCACATGACATACTACTTTCTGTGATGTTCAAATTTTTTTGTTGTTGTTTGGTCTTTTTGAGACAGGCTCTCACTATGTAGCTCAGGCTGGCCTTGAACCCACTGTGTAATACAGGCTGGCCTCAAATTCGCAGTGATCTTCCTGCTTCAGCCTCCCAAGTGTTGGGATTACAGGTGTGCGCCACCATGTCTGGTATGATGTTCAGATTGATAAGTGGTGTAGTAAGCCTGATTACAAATTCATTATAGAGGCTCCCCTTCAGCCTTTTACTTAGGCAGTCCTTTTTTTTTTTTTTTTTTTTT